CATTAGATTCTTTCTCATGAAAATTTGCTTTTTTTTTTGCTTGTTTTTTAGAATTTGAGTTATAATGTCTAGTCATTTGTCATATTTATTATTATTTTATTTTTTATTTTGGTTACGCGAAAGAAATTTTTTTTTTTAACAAGGTTATTATTAATAATCAAATCTATATTTCAATTAATTATATTTATACATATTAAAAAACTTTTTTTTCAAAAGAGTACTTTGATTACCAACCAACAAAGTTGTTAAAAAATGACCAAAAGCTTCTATTTCTAGTAACTGTTTCCTTGAGGTATATGAAATAGGTGATAATTTAATATTCTAGTATTGTTTCATTTAGCAATAATTCCAATTTGGTAACATCATCATAGCACAAATTTATTTGATAATCTACTTTAAAGGGAATGAGCTTTTAAAATTAGAAAAAAAACAAAGAATACAAAAAGAAAAATAAAGTCTATGAGTAAGTGCTATGAGTTTTATGATTAAAAGAATGGATGGTGGTGGTTGAGATTGATGATTTGCCACTTGTCATTTTAGTTAAAAAACTAAGTTAGGCAGTAAATTATTTCATCCAATTTTCAGGTTCTTCATGATGTGAGATAGTAAATCTTGGACCTATCAATTACCCAGTTAATATTGACTAATTAGAACGAATTTACTACGGAAGTCATGTGATGCACTAAATATTATTTATATTATTATAACGGCTACGTCGCACATTGCGCAGTGTCATATGAAAGACTATTCCTATTCATATTTCTATATTTATATTTATTAACCTTCTCATCTGATGTAAATATTTATTTAGAATTAGTAATTAGTTGATAAGCATATTATTGGAGAGTAGAGTAGCACATATCACATTATTTGTACTGCCCCAAGAGGTATAAATACACTTGGATTTAGACCAAGTTAACAAGAATAATTAATAAATCAATTGTTAATATTGTTAATAACAACCTTGATAACAACAACATAATAATAACTCTTAATAAATATATAACCTTACATGAAATAGTCTTTGACTGTAAATAACTAATAAACCCAGTGTGGTTGACCCCCCAGCCCTTCTAATGGTTAATGGTCTGCCAACCTTTAATTATTAGTTGGGAACCCTTTTAATTATTCAGATACATCACAAGGGGACGCCTTTGGGATATAATCATTTACATAGAACCTAGGGACCCTATTATCCAGGAAGATAAAAGTTATTTTTATTATTAATCTTTGACCGTAAGTCAGTGGGTAGATACATATATATAAATAAAGGAAACTTGACCATAAGTCAGTGGGTAGGCTGTGTGTCAAACAATAGAATCAACCATAAGTCAGCGGGTAGGCTGTGTGTTGAGCTAAATAACCTATTAACTAGGAAACTCAGATTGCACACTCGCAATGGCTTTGTTAATGTTCTTTTATTAGTTATGATTTTTCTTTCCTCTTGGTAAATCTCATGGTTGATTTTCTCTTTCCTTAGATAGTTTCAAGCATCTGAGCATCATATATTTTGAAAACATAAGAAGCAATCTTTTCCCATTGTTCTTTCTCCAAAATACTTCTGATAGTTCTATAATTCTTGGGTCCCATAGTAGATCTGATATAAATGAGTTTTCATATTAACTATTTTTATCTAGACAAACATCATGATCACATTACATTATAATACAATTGTGATATTAAATAAACACTATTGATCCCTGAAATTTTTGGTAATATCAATGTTTACTTTTGTTACAGCATGCCCCATATAGAGTAGATGGAGATATATTGTTATCTTGTTATTGACTCCTACTACCATCCCTCAACTCATATTATATAGTTGTTTTCAAAAAACTCTATTTTTAAATTAGAAAGTTTTTTAATGCTCAAATTGCATACAAGTAAACTAATATCACTTACCTTGAAAATTCATTAGCAAAGAATTAAAAACAAGCAACCTTCTTTAATCAAATTTATTTTTGAAGAAATATTATTATATTTGTTATAGGTTTTATGTATTTTTACAAGTGATGAGAAAACTACTTTTGAATTTACAAGTTTTGTTTAAAGAACTTTCTAACAAGACATCAATTTTTTTTATCACTATACAATTGGATAGGTTCTGAAAAATAGTAAACCATTTCCAAAATTAGTTTTGGTTAACTTGAAGTGTTACTATTATGTAATTTTTTATCAACAGCATCATAATAAAATTTGTGTTACCTACCAGGGCTGGCAGGGTTAAAAACCTGATTTAGTAACAATTATCTTGACTAAACTTGACTTAACATATGACTAAATAGTTTAGTCAGGTTAGCCAAGTGCTCATTTGAGTTACGCAGCCAGCCCTGTTACCTACATTCTACCCTTAATATTAAGGGTAGGGGATCATGTGGTAGATTAATTGCTCAAAAAAAATAATGTCAATCATCATAAATAACAATAGTAATTCAATATTAATATTACAAAGACTCCTAGTACTATTTTTTTTTTATTAAATAAAGACTCCAGATTTTAACTCTCCATTCTTTTGAGTTTATATCCAAATTTCCACAATGCTTGCAAGTGAATGTTAGTATTAATTCAATTAATTACTGTGGATATAAATATTGTTGAACTTAAATTATTGTCTTTAAATGGTTTATCAACAGCATTTCCAACTTTCCAGATTATTTGGTGATGTATTTCATCATAATCTACACTCACCTGCCATAAGTATTGGCAATTTTGCAGGTTGCTGGAAATAATTGAACAAAGTGAAATAAAATAACTCAAAATTTTATTATCACAAAAATCAATTTTCAGAATGATTCCCATAACATACTTAAGTTTTATAATGTTTTGTTTACAATTAATAATTTTATTAGCTTTAAAAGTCAAAGTAAAAAATTTTCAATTGATAACAAAACCTAATTGCCAAGTTTTTAACATGTCTAGATAACATAATAAAAAATGTGCGCCATGCTTTGAATATACAGTGTGTAACAAAAAAAACCGGATATTTTTATTTTGCCATTGCTCCTCAATGAGTCAGTCAATTTTTATAAAAAATGGGTCATTTGTAAGATAAAAACAACCAAATTTATTGATAATAATTAATAAGAAATCTGTTCTCCATTCCTCTCAATAATGAGCTTACGACATCATCTCATTGATTCTGTTAACAGTCAGTGTGCAAATCAGTACTATTTTTTTTTTATTAAATAAAGACTCCAGATTTTAACTCTCCATTCTTTTGAGTTTATATCCAAATTTCCACAATGCTTGCAAGTGAATGTTAGTATTAATTCAATTAATTACTGTGGATATAAATATTGTTGAACTTAAATTATTGTCTTTAAATGGTTTATCAACAGCATTTCCAACTTTCCAGATTATTTGGTGATGTATTTCATCATAATCTACACTCACCTGCCATAAGTATTGGCAATTTTGCAGGTTGCTGGAAATAATTGAACAAAGTGAAATAAAATAACTCAAAATTTTATTATCACAAAAATCAATTTTCAGAATGATTCCCATAACATACTTAAGTTTTATAATGTTTTGTTTACAATTAATAATTTTATTAGCTTTAAAAGTCAAAGTAAAAAATTTTCAATTGATAACAAAACCTAATTGCCAAGTTTTTAACATGTCTAGATAACATAATAAAAAATGTGCGCCATGCTTTGAATATACAGTGTGTAACAAAAAAAACCGGATATTTTTATTTTGCCATTGCTCCTCAATGAGTCAGTCAATTTTTATAAAAAATGGGTCATTTGTAAGATAAAAACAACCAAATTTATTGATAATAATTAATAAGAAATCCGTTCTCCATTTCTCTCAATAATGAGCTCACAACGTTGTCTCATTGATTCTATTAAATTAATTAACATGCTTTCCGGAGTTCTATTCCACTCCTCCATCATAAATCTCTCTAGTTCACCAAGATTTTTTGGCATACGCCTCTCTACATTATTCTTAACAATTCCCCAAAGGTTTTCAATTGGATTTAAATCGGGACTATTTGATGGCCAGTCCATAACCGCCGGAATGTTTTCTTTCAGAAACTCCGTAGCAAGACGACTCGTGTGTTTTGGATCATTGTCTTGCTGGAGTCTCCATCTACCTCCAAGCATCCTATTTACTTCCGGCATATGTTTCTGGAGGATTTCTACATAAAATTTGGCATCCATTATCCTCCTGAAGCAAAATAAACTTGTTTTTCCGACTACGCAAAATCCGCCCCATGCAAAAACTTTTGTGTGATCTTTGGGCATGGGACGAATTGGCCGCTCACCTTTGTACCAACGTTCGATGGTGTTTCGGTAAAGTTGAAACGCGGTTTCATCAGAAAATAATGTCTTCCTCCAATTGTCATTAAGGTGCTGACGTGCCCACTCAACACGCCTTTGCTTATGGGCTTCGGTTAACATAGGTGTTTGTTTAGGCAATGCTTTCGAGTACCCATAAGTGGTCAGGTGCCTCGAAATTGTCATATGTGACACGTCAACACCTGTATTCGACACTTTTCGAGCTAAGGTCCATGTGGAAATTGAGTCATTTCTCCGTATTGATTGTCCAATCATCTTGGAGGTATTCCCAGTTATTTTCCTGGGCCGACCATTTCCTTGTATGTGCTCCACCGTCCCTTTTTCTTTTATTTTTTTAATGTTATCATAAATAGTAGACAATGGGATGTTTGTTCGGCGATGAATTTCTTGGCCATTGTGAATGCCTTCATTCCACAATTGTAATATGCATTGACGTTGTGTTTCTTGTTTAGAAGCGGGCATTGTGTTTGTACATAAAGCAAAAAGTACACTAAGGTTCAGGGTTGTAAACAACGCTCAAATTTACTCCTGATTATCATGTTTATTTTCCATTTTATATCTCTCAAATTGGACAGAAAACAAACGCGTGAGACGCGTTTAAATTGCATAAAAAAATATCCAGTTTTTTTTGTTACACACTGTATATAATTTTATAATTTCATGTTCACTTTGTAGGTTTTTTATGAATAAGCAAATAGTTACCTTCAAAAATTTATATCTCTATTTTCTTATCTAATGATTTTTTTAACATAAAGGTTATTTTGAGTATGGGTTAACAGAATTTGGATATACAGAAACTTTATCTATTTTAGCTATAATAGGGAATATGGCAATTAACATAAATAAATTCTATTAGATTTATTTATTTTCAATTAATAATAATTTCTTCAATGCAAATGTAAAAATACATAATAAAAATTTTTTAATCATTGAGGAGTAATAAAGCCTTCATCTAATAAATGTATGTCATGTGATTTTCTAATTAAATTTCCAGGTTTCACTTCATTGTGCCATTTGATCTTTGGATTCATGGTCACATATGGATATCTAATTTTTCCTTCTGGACCTGCCCATTCAAAATCTATAATTTTTATAACCCATCTATCCTCTACTTTTTTAGCAAGTATATTATTTAGTCAAAAATCTCCATGAACAAAGTTTTTGTCATGTAATAATCCTACAGCAACTTTTATAGAATTTTTTATCTCCTTCAAATCTTCTTTTTTTACTTTCGAAAACAATGAATTTATAGTCTCATATCCATCAAGATATTCCATTACAATAAATTTATACCCAGAATTTATGTCTGAATAATGAATGATTTTTGGTGCTATTTGATGTTCAGCACAGAAACTGTGTGCATCATAACCATAAGTTTCAGAAAACTTGACTATGTGTTTTGTATCATCATTCTCTTCTACAAGATACACCAGACTTTGTAAAATGTCAACACAACGTTTTTTGTATTGAAAAGATACCACTAAAGAATCCTTTGTGTATGACCTTATCCATGGAAACCTTCCCACGTTTCTATCAATCTTTTTTCTGGAACTAATAAACATTCACTATAGTATTTTTCCAAAGTTTTAATCGCCTCATGTAAAGAACAAAATATTCTTGTCAGTTGATTTATCCATGATTCAAAAAAATCAGGTCTGACTATAAGATTTTCTGCAATTAAAGGACATATTGTAACTCTTTCCCCAAATACAGTGCCTGCAATCTCAAATTGTGTGCCATGCAAACAAACTAGAAAACATGGCATGCAAGTGTTCAGGATAAGGTTGTGGGCGAAACCTCTTAATGACTGTCGAAACTCTGTCGAAACTCTAATGAACAATTAATGTGTAACCTG